CTGTTATCGCTGCAGATTTCATTTCCCCTTTATCATTAATGGATGATCCAGTAGGCAGAAATTCAGAAGGATATGGCTGAGCACCAATCAATCAACTAGATCTAATTGACATTTACAGAATATTTTATCCAACAGAATACACATTCTTCTCAAGTTTGCATGAACCATTCACCAAATAGACATATTCTGGGCCACAATACCTCATTAACATATTTAAACGAATACAAGTCATACAGTGTATGCTCTCAGATCTCAATGGAATTAAATTAGAAATCATAACAGAAAGATAGCTAGGGAAAAAAATCCCCAAATACTCAGATTAAATAACGTACTTCTAACTTCCGTATGGGTCAAAGAAGAAGTCTCAAGAGAAATTTAAAATATTTTGAACTGGGGCGCCTGGGCGGCTCAGTCGTTAAGCATATGCCTTCGGCTCAGGTCAGGATCCCAGGGTCCCGGGATGGAGCCCCGCATCGGGCTCCCGACGCAGCAGGAAGCCTGCTTCTCCCTCTCCCACTCCCCCTGCTTGTGTTCCCTCTCTCGCTGTGTCTCTCTCTGTCAAATAAATGAATGAAATCTTAAAAATAAAATAAAATATTTTGAACTAAATGAAAATTAAAATATATTATCAAAATTTGTAGGATGCAGAGAAAGCAGTATTTAGAGGCATGTTGAATATTGCAGGATTGAATGCATATATTAGAAAAGAATGAAGATTTAAAAATCAGTCATCTAAGCTTCCACCTTAGGAAACTAAAGAAGAGAAAATAAAACCAAAGTAAGCAGAAGAGAAATAATACAAATTAGAACAGAAATCAATCAAATTAAAAATCAATAGAAAAAAATCAACAAAATTAAACACTGGTTCTTTGAAAGAATCAACAAAATTGATAAAGCTCTAACCAGAGTAGCTGAGAGGAGAGAGAGAGAAGACAAATTACTAATATTAGAAATGAAAGGGAGGCCAGGATTCCTGATTCCATGGACATGTAAGTGTTAATAAAAGAATATTATGAGCAACACCATGCCTACAAATTTGCTAACCTAAATGAAAAGGACCAATTCCTTAAAAAACATGATCTGCCAAAACTTACACAAGAAGAAAGATATAATCTGCATAAGCCTAGATCTATTAAAAATATTGAATCAATAGTTAATAACCCCCCAAAACAGAGAGCCCCCCCATACTCTCTATAGGTTCATTGGTGAATTTTACCAAAAACTTAAGAAATTACACAGATTTTCTACAATCTCTTCCAGAAAATAGAAGCAGAGGGACTATTTCCTTAAAAATATGGAATAAAACTACTTATTCTACAGATTTTTTAAAACAATAATAATGAGCATTATTAACAACTTAAACATACACAACGTTATATGTCAAGTATGTGCCAATAAATCTGAGAAAATATTAATGAAAGGGGCAAAAGATTGGAACTCATTAGGGAATGCTAATTAAAACCACTTCACCCATTACAAAAGTTAAAATTAAAAAGTCTGATCCACGCAAGGGTTGGCAAGGATGGGGAAGGGCTAGTGAGTGAGCACTCTTGGTGGTTATGTAAAATGGTACAACTTCAGAGAATAGTTTGGCATTTTCTTAGAGTTAAAATTATATTTACCATTTGACCCAGCTATTCCACTCCTAGACAATTCCTTAAGAGGAAAGAGTGTATGTCCATACAAAGATTTATACATGAATGTTCATAACTGCTTTATTTGCGATAGCCAAAGTCTGGAATCAATTCAAATGTCCATCAACAGATGGATAAACAAATTGTGGTAGGTCCATTGGATAAATACTACCAGGCGATATAAAGGGATAAACCATTGACTCAATAATGTGGACAAATCACATAAAAAATATCCTGACTGAAAGAAGCCAAACCAAAAAAAGTACTTGCTGAATAATCTCATTTTATAAACTTCTAGAAATGCATACTGATCTAAAAGTACCAGAAAGCAGCAGATGTTAGGAGGCAAGGCAGAGATAGGAGAGAAGCATTACAGAAGAAATTATAAAGGGTCACATGGAAACTTCTAGACCTGATGAATGTGTTCACTGTCTTGATTTTGGTGATGGCTTCACAGCCATGAACATGCCAAATATTATCAAATTGTACACTTTAAATAAGTGCAGTTTTTTTGGATGTCAATGACACCACAATAAAGCTATTATAGAGAAAAATATTTTAAAATAAAACGTAATGTATTTTAAAATTATCATTGAGAGACAGATGGACATTTTGTACTCCAGATATGTTACAAAGAAGGACACAATATCACCTATGCAGTATTTCAGCCTAGAATGCATAGTATCTAAGACTAATGATGAGGAATTATCAAATGAACTCCAAATGAATGTTCCACATAAAAAGGAGGGAGGACTGTATAATATATATGTATGTACGTAAATGCCATGGAAGACAAAGAAAGCCTGCAAAATTAGAATATGAGTGATCAAGCAGATAAAAGTATTATATCAGTGTTAATTTACCAAAGTTGATAACTGTTACTGTGGTTGTGTAAGACAATAACTCTATTCTTAGAAAATAAACACTAATAGAATTTTAAGTGCTCTAAAGCCATGATGCAGGGTGACTGGGTGGCTCAGTTGGTTAAGCAACTGCCTTCGGCTCAGGTCATGATCCTGGAGTCCAGGGATCGAGTCCCGCATCGGGCTCCCTGCTCAGCAGGGAGTCTGCTTCTCCCTCTGACCCTCCCCCCTCTCATGCTCTCTCTCTCATTCTCTCTCTCAAATAAATAAATAAATAAAATATTTAAAGCCATGATGCTGGTAACTTAACCAAAACAGTTCAGCAAGTGGGGAAAGAGGTGGGGCTGAAGGGGGCAGCAAATGAGAAAGAGCATACAGCAACTGGAAAAGCAAATGGGATTAAATGTTAACAATATGTGAACCTGGGGAAAGGAGAAATGGTGTTCTTTTTTTTAAATTTTTTAATTGTTATGTTAATCACCATATATTACATCATTAGTTTTTGATGTAGTGTTCAGGAGAAATGGTGTTCTTTGTATTGTTTTTATTTTTGCAACTTTTTCTGTAGGTTTGAAATAATTTCCAAATTAAAAAAAATTTTTTTAAATTTTAACTACAATAGGAGAAAGTGTTTTATCCTCAAACAAATGAACCCATCTTCAACTCTTCTATGGCATTTTAGAAATGATTTATACCAGAAATATATAAAACATAAAGTATTGTGGGGGCACCTGACTGGCTTAGTCAGTGGAGCATGTGACTCTTGATCTTGGGGTTGTGAGTTCGAGTCCCACATTGGGTGTGGAGCCTACATAAAATAAAATTTTAAAAAAATGTTTTAAATATGAAATAGTGTGATTCCTGGACTCAACATTAATGTCATCAAGATTGAAATGACTTTCAAAAGACTTCTGGGGAATTTCCAGATGATCATGGATTTCTCCTTTCAAATAAATTGACACAGAATTTTGTATCTCAATTCCATTCTGGTAAACTTTTTCCACAGCACTTGAACATTTGCAAGGGGGAAAAGGGGGAGACACTGGTCAAAGAGTACAAACTTAGAGTTAGAAGATGAGCAAGTTCTAGGAAAGTAATGCACAACATTGTGATTACAGGTAACAATCCTATACTACATTATTTGAAAGTTGCTAAGAGAGTAGATCTTAAATGTCCTCACCACAAAAAAGAAATGGCAATTATGTGTGACACAATGGAGTCATTAGCTAAGGCCATCCTACTAGTTAGCTAACAACCACCACTGGGTTGAATCCTATCGCAATATGTAAGTGTATCAAATCAACACACTGTACACCTTAAAGTTACACATAGCTGTATGTTAAAATTATATCTGAATGAAGTTGGGGGGAAAACATACATTTGCAAGGATATTGGCCTCTACCTTTTTCATTCATATTGGCGATTTAGCCAAGAAAGCTTTGATTTTTTCTTTTTTTAAAAAATTTTTAATTGTTATGTTAATCACCATACATTACATCATTAGTTCTTGATGTGGTGTTCCATGATTCATTGTTTGTGCATAACACCCAGTGCTCCACGCAGAACGTGCCCTCTTTAATACCCATCACCAGGCTAACCCATCCCCCCACCCCCTCCCCTCTAGAACCCTCAGTTTGTTTTTCAGAGTCCATCATCTCTCATGGTTCATCTCCCCCTCCTGTTATCTTCTTCTTTTTCTTTTTTCTTAACATATATTGCATTATTTGTTTCAGAAGTACAGATCTGTGATTCAACAGTCTTGCACAATTCACAGCGCTCACCATAGCACATACCCTCCCCAATGTCTATCACCCAGCCACCCCATCCCTCCCACCCCCAACCACTCCAGCACCCTCAATTTGTTTCCTGAGATTAAGAATTCCTCCTATCAGTGAAGTCATATGATACATGTCTTTCTCTGATTGACTTATTTCACTCAGCATAACACCCTCCAGTTCCATCCACGTCATTGCAAATGGCAAGATCTCATTCCTTTTGATGGCTGCATAATATTCCATTGTGGATATATACCACATCTTCTTTATCCATTCATCTGTCAATGGACATCTTGGCTCTTTCCACAGTTTGGCTATTGTGGACATTGCTGCTATAAACACTGGGGTGCACGTACCCCTTCGGATCCCTACATTTGTATCTTTGTGGTAAATACCCAGTAGTGCAATTGCTGGATCGTATGGTAAAGCTTTGGTTTTTCCAGTAGCAGTTAAGAGTAACTTCAGGACCTTGAGTGCAAACATTTATCACATTCAGATGGTTTACCATATCTTTGAGATGAGCCAGGCCATGAATAAAGTCCTCTTTTTCAAAATGTTCCAAGCGTGGGTTTGTTTTTCCTTTAAAAAAATAAACAAATAAATAAAACTTCTTTTATCAAAATTGATACTAAATTTTGCCCCTTCGAAAGCCAGAGAACTTCTGTGTGATAGAGATTTTCTTATTTTCCACAAGAATATTTTTTAAATGTGATGATTTAGAAACTTACTTTGGATAAAGTTGATGGCTCTTTCAGCTGATGACAGAATTTCTTTCAGAGTTGTTTGAATAGTCTGTTGTCTGTTGTGCATGTAAGTCCTAAAACGAGTGAGTGGCGAGGATGTGAGGAGATTCCTTTCTCACTGAAGTAGGAAAACCAGATGGTCACCAAGCATTGTAGGAGTTCCATCTGCAAAAAGGGAAAGGAAGCTTTTGTTTCAAAGTTCTGCATGATAAAACCACCTTTTTACCATTGCCAAAAAGTCATTGACTTTTAGAGTTGCCAAAAGAGACTCATGATCTAAGAATTCTTTGACGGCTTCAGCATGCACAGAGCAAGCAAAACCAAAAGGAAAAGGAAAACTGGTAACTCTGAAAAAATTTCCTTTAGTTTTATCCAATTGTAAAATGAAGGAGTATGGCAAAAGTGCCAATTCCTCAATGACTGCTTCAAATTTTTAAAGAAATATCAACTATCCTATTTGACAAGGAAAATGGATTATGGATATTTTTTTCCTTTGTTGCAGGACACAAATCAGTGCCAACATGGTTCATTAAAGTTTATCCAATATAAGTAGAGCTTCTTTTCATCTAGCAAGCTGGTAAGAAAATGTATGGAAGGGGCACCTGGGTGGCTCAGTCGGTTGGGCGACTGCCTTTGGCTCAGGTCATGATCCCCGGGGCCTGGGATCGAGCCCTGCGTCCGGCTCCCTGCTGGTGAAAGTCTGCTTCTCCCTCTCTCTCTGCCTGCTGCTCTGCCTACTTGTGCTTTCTTTCTGTGTGTCAAATAAATAAATAAAATCCTTAAAAAAAAAAAAAAGAAAGAAAATGTATGGAAGCCCCAAGAAAAGGGTTTTGTAAAATGGCACAGCTCCATTTAGAAACATGCCAATTTTTTCTCCTTTTTTTAAAAGCTTTTTTAATTTACTCATTGGAGAGGCATGAATGGGGGGAGGGGCAGAGGGAAAGTGAGAAACAGACTCCCTGCTGGGCAGGGAGCCTGATACAGGGCTTGAACCTAGGACCCCGAGATCATGACCCTAGCCAAAGGCAGATGCCCAACCCACTGAGCCACCCAGGTGCCCCAGAAACATGCGCAGTTTTTCAAACCGAGCTTTCTTAGGAAAAATTCCTAATCTTCCAGACAGACAGAAGTGAGATGCACTTTCATTTTATCTGGCTTCATACTTGCATTCATGAGGATATTTATACACACACACACAACCACTGTGGCCTTGTGTCCTAGTAAGTTCAAAGATGCAAATGAAAACATCTAATTCCTGTTCTTTCACTTACTTCTATTAGTAATAAAGTCTTGGGCACTGTTAACATTTTGCAGTTTGTTGCCAACATTAAATATGGAAGGAAATGATAAATATCCTTTAAAGTGTAGGAGCCAAGAGCAGGCCACCCCAAGATGGACTATTTTGGCATGAAGATTATTTTGAGTCAAAAAGCAATCCGTCAGGGCTCCTGGGTGGCTCAGTTGAGCGTCTGCCTTTGGCTCAGGTCATGATCTCAGGGTCCTGGGATCCAGCCCCACCTGGGGCTCCCTGATCAGTGGGGAGTCTGCTTCTCCCTCTCCTTCTGCTCCTCCCCCCTAATCCTGATCTTTCTCTCTCTCAAATAAATCAATAAAATCTAAATTTAAAAAAAGCAATCAATCACAAGCCAGCAGATTCAGGAAAAGTTCTTTACCCACCTCTCAACTGCCTAAAAGAATTTAGATGGAGCAACTGCTCCAGGAAGAGAGCTATCACTGTAGATAAAACTACAGTATGATAAGAACTGGGTATGGTAGATGGGGAGGAACCCAGCCCTCTATGTCCCACTGTTTCTGAATGACCCAGAAAACCTGTTTACTAAACATTTACTCTTTTTTTAATGTCCCAGTAAATTGCATTCCTTTCCTCTGAAGTCCCAGACTCCTACCTCCTTCTCCTTAGTTTGGGTGGACATATATACCTCATTTTGCCTGTCTGTCTTTGGAATTTCCGTGTCTGAGGGGTTCCCCATATGTATGCTATTAAATTTGATTTTTCTCCTGTTAATGTTTCATGTCAATTTGCTTTTTAGTCTGGCCAAAAGGACCATGAAAGGGAGAGAAATTCTTGCTCTCTGACAAGAAGTTAATGAAAAATATAAAATTTTCTATCAAGGTTCATAGAACCCATGAAACTAAGAGGACACTAGACCCCATATTAATAAATTTTGCTCAGGAATGAAGGTAAGGTGCTAACAAAAATCTGCAACTCACCTGCATAAGATCGGTCCATAAGCAGTTCTGAAAGGGTTTTTTGAAATTTTTCATTAGCCACTGGGACTTTTCATCTAAAGCATTATATTAACAGCAATATTGTGAATGAAGCTAGAATTTTAGTGACACTGATCTATGCTTGAACCTCAGCTGGGCTCCTTGATAGACACTTCACCACCAGGGTGTTGTGAGGGCTCCATGAAACGATCTAAGTAGAAGTGGCTAGCATCGTGTGTGGCACATAGCAAAGCACTCAGTAAATGCTGGTTTTGTTCTTCTTTCCTTCATCTCTTTTCCCACCAGCAATTGGAGTGTAAGGGTAATTTCCCTCTCCACCGGAGTTTTTAAATGATCATTATCTCACACTCTAGTCTCTATACACCCTCTGGAAAGTCATTGCTGCCCCTGGGAGCCCAGGAACAAAGTAGCCCGGTTTCTGACGCTGTGCCAAGGTCCATTCCCCAAAACAAAAGGCAGCACTTAGAAGTGCAAGTTAAGAGGGTTGCTCATCTGTGGTATCATCAAGATCTCAGTTACCCACCCTGAAGCCAAGAGAGACCATGAATATGAGGACAAAATGTTCTGCTTTCTCCTCCCCAGAGTGGGGCAAATGGCATCTATGCTGAGTGGATGGCCGTCTTATCATGGAGTGCATTAATTTGGGACTCTGTATCAGTGGGATAGTGGATAATGGTATCATGTGTTGTTTATCCTTCACTCATTCCCTCCTTCATTGAGCTATCATATGTTCAGCACATCATCACGTGCCAAGCAAACTGCTAGGTCAGAATAACAGAACTTAGTACCCATCCTCATAATTTACATTATGAAACCATAGAATGTTATGGTTGAAATCTAACATCACAGATAAATGCCTTGCTAAAGATGCCGTGAATTACACAGTAATCAACCAAAGGTCTCCAGACTCCCAGGAAAATCCTCTTTCCATTGTACCACACTGCCTCCAGTAGTTCTAATACTTATTCTTTCCTATGTCATACTAAATTAAGAAAGAAGTTGTTTTCAAGAGAAAATCTGATGGATGAGGTACTGGGGGAAGATGAGGAGTAAGTCAGAGGACCCCAGTGTTTGGGTAGAATTGCAAAATTCCACAATCCTAACTGGAAATAATCCAGTAGAAAAGAGATTTAAAACTCAGTGGGCTGGGGGAGATGAACCATGAGAGATGATGGACTCTGAGAAACAAACTGAGGGTTCTAGAGGGGAGGAGAGTGGGGGGATGGGTTAGCCTGGTGATGGGTATTAAAGAGGGCATGTTCTGCATGGAGCACTGGGGGTTATACACAAACAATGAATCATGGAACACTACATCAAAAACTAATGATGTAATGTATGGTGATTAACAAAACATAAAAAAAAAAAAAAACCTCAGTGGGCCTTTCAGAAAGCATCTGCCAAGGAAGAAGAGTAGGCACTGAAAACCAACTGCAGTTTAACCTAGAATGTCCTTTGCTTCCTTTGCTATGATTTTAGAGTCATTCTCTTTAAACAGATAAAGCAGAGAAAATGGGTGACAAATGAAATGCTCCGATAGCCTTGTAAACCCAAGCACCAAAGGCTTAGGGCTTTGCCTTCTTGATAAGCCTCTGGAAAGTCGTGAAAAATGCCATCCAGTTTCTAAGATTCTCTCCTACAATATGACAGAATAGAAAATTAGGTTCACCATCTTGTTCTCCATTCTACAACCAATTCTTTTCAAAGAAACCAATTCCCTGTCTGAGGCTTTTGGCTCTCTTCTTAGGCAAAGAGGGGCTCCACACTCCGAGTGGTGATAGAAAAAGAATATTGTCAACTCTGTGGCATTTGAACTAAGACGTAGGTCACCCAATCCTCACCTGATGTCTAAAAATGTCAGACTTGATATGTTTTAATGAACATATTGTTCCTACAGGAAAGAACATGCCATTAAATTAGCTGTGTATGGAAGATTCCTATATTCCAGCCAAGGTGCCATCAGCTCACCGACAGGTTTAGGAACCCTAGAATGCCAGGACTGGCCAGCGCTTTACCCATGGTGAACCTTAACTGAGTTAACTTTTGTAGAGACAGATACCTAAATCATAGAAAAACCAGCTGGTTTACAATATAAATTTGGTAAAGATCATGTTGTGTGTTAATTCTAAGGGGGATTTCATAGCCCTACAGAATAAATGGTCTCTGGCTGTGGAGAACAGATTTCTGCTAAGGTGAAGTAGTCCTGGGCTGAGAATCAGAAGTTCTAGGTTGAAGGCCCAGCTTGATCATAGATTAAGTCTCTTTCACTCTGCTGTTTCTCACCCATAGGGTGAGGAGCTACATAAGCTTTCCTGACTTATACATTGTCCTACTTTCACACATGGGACTGTGCCTGGAACACAAAAGTTCCCAGTAAATGTTTGCTGAATGTATGAATAAATCTTCAAGAGGCAGGGGCGCCTGGGTGGCTCAGTTGGTTAAGTGACTGCCTTGGGCTCACATCATGATCCCAGGTTCCTGGGATCAAGTCCCACATTGGGCTTCCTGATCAGCAGGGAGTCTGCTTCTCTCTCTTCCTCTCCCTCTGTGCTCTCTCTCACTCTCTCAAATAAAAAAAATAAAATCTTTAAAAAAAAACCTCCATGAGGTATTGAATCAAGGTGGTTACAAGTGTGGCCTCCACTCACTATGTAATCATGGGTAAGATGCTAGACCTCACCAAGCCTGTTTCCTCCTCTGTAAAATTAGGATAAGAATGATAACATCATAACTATAACACTAATTACTATGAGAAAGATTTTATTAAAAAAACAAAGTTAGCTTAATGTAAACCCCCAAATTTATCAATTATCATTATAATTTACTATGGGGGAGAGAGAGAATAAACTTGAGCTTCCAGAGGAAACCTTGTGTGATTGGTTCCCTTTAGGCATGAATAATCCCTGCCCTATGATGAA